TATTTTTTTCTTCGTTTCCTGCCCTTTGACCCTATGTCTCTTTTATGCTGTCGGCCATGTTGAGAAAGGAATCAACTTTCACACGCAACCCTTGAGAAGTCTGAGATCAGAGAGAATGCCTCACGGTTTTCTTCAAATTTCCTCTCTTGTGTTTATTTTCAAGGAAAACCTCTACTTTTGTGGCTTAGAAACAATGTTCTCTTATTATCGTAATCACTACTGAGAAGAAATTAGTTCTTTCACCCCTCAGTGCAGAGGTTAAAAGAGGCTGGAGAGAAAGGGGGAGAGCCGATGGACAGCTTCAGAAACATCCTGAGGGGGTAGACATTTGGGACATTGTTTTTTTTAGGTACAAAGCACCAAATAAAGCACACTTTCTCTCATACCTGGTGGTATTTTTTGCATTTAAGTTCACCTGCTGTACATTTTTATACAAGGATGTGTTTGTCATAACAATATTTCTCAGTTTTTCATACATTACAAACTGGAAGCCAGAGGACTTGCTTATCTTAAGTGGTAGTGGGGAAGAGAGCTTGTAATTACAGGAGCTCAATGTGTCATCAATGTAGACCCCTAGAGATAGAATTAGCAAGAAGTATTTATATATATATATATATATATATATATATATATATATATATATATATATATAAAATACTCTGCTCAAATAAATTAAAAGAACACTGAAAACACATCAGATCTCAATGGGGAAATATCTCTTGCTGGATATCTATACTGATATGGACTGGGTAATGTGTTAGGAACGTAAGGATGCCCCATTGTTTTAACAGAAATGAATGATAGGACTGAATTCAAAGACACCCCGAAAATCTAAGTGAAAAAATGATGCAGCAGGCTAGTCCATTTTGCTGAAATTTCATTAGAACAATTCAAAATGGTATTCAGTAGTTTGTATGGCCCTCATGTGCTTGTATGCATGACTGACAACATTGGGGCATGCTCCTAATGAGATGACGGATGGTGTCCTGGGGTATTTCCTCCCAGATATGGACCAGGGCATCACTGAGCTACTAGACAGTCTGAGGTGCAACCTGGCAGCATCAGATGACCGAAACATGCTATCCCAGAGGTGTTCGATTGGATTTAGGTCAGGCGAACGTGGGGGCCATTCAATGGTATCAATTAATTCATCCTCCAGGAACTGCCTGCATACATTCACCACATGAGGCCGGGCATTGTCGTGCACCAGGACCCACTGCACCAGCATAGGGTCTGACAATGGGTCCAAGGATTTCATCCCAATACCTAATGGCAGTCAGGATGCCATTGTCTAGCCTGTAGAGGTCTGTGCATCCCTCCATGGATATGCCTCCCCAGACCATCACTGACCCACCACCAAAACGGACATGCTGAACGATGTTAAAGGCAACGTAACATTCTCCACGGCTTCTCCAGACCTTTTCATGTCTGTCTCATGTGCTCAGGATGAACCTTCTCTCATCTGTGAAAAGTACAGGGCACCAGTGGTGGACCTCCCAATTCTGGTGTTCAATGGCAAATGCCAATCAAGCTCTATGGTGTCGGGCAGTGAGCACAGGGCCCACTAGAGGACGTTGGGCTCTCAGGACACTCTCATGAAGTCTGTTTCTGATTATTTGGTCAGAGACATGCACACCAGTGGCCTGCTGGAGGTCATTTTTTATGGCTCTGGCACTGCTCATCCTGTTCCTCCTTGCACAAAGGAACAGATACCGGTCCTGCTGATGGGTTAAGGACCTTCTATGGTCCTGTCCAGCTCTCCTAGAGTAACTGCCTGTCTCCTGGAATCTCCTCCATGCTCTTGAGACTGTGCTGGGAGAAACAGCAAACCTTATGGCAATGGCATGTATTGATGTGCCATCCTAGAGAAGTTGGACTGCCTGTGCAACCTATGTAGGGTCCAGGTATCACCTCATGATACCAGTAGTGACACTAACCCTAGCCAAATGCAAAACTAGTGAAAAACAGTCAAAAAAGATGAGTAGGGGAAAAAATGTCAGTGGATGCCACCTGTAAAACCATTCCTGTTTTGGGAGTTGTCTCATTGTTGCCCATCTAGTGCACCTGTTGTTAATTTCATTAGCAGCAAAGCAGCTGAAACTGATTAACAACCCTCTCTGCTACTTAACTGACCAGATCAACATCCCAGGAGTTTAATTGACTTGATGCTATACTCGGATTAAAAAGTGTTCCTTTAATTTTTTTGAGCAGTGTATATAGCTTCCACTCAAAACCAGTCTTGCCAACTGTCAGTATTTTTACTAGCAGCCAGTAAAAACAGCAATTTTCTCCTGCCAGTAAATGCCAGTGACAGGAAAAGGTTGCCAGTTAAAAATATGGCTGTGACTCTAGGGTTGGAACTGCGCATGTGCAGTTCTTGTCTGGAGCCGGCTGAGACCATCTGACGGCCTGCTAGAGTGTGTTCAGGCAGTGCTGTGATGTCAGGGTGCAATAGTGCGGAGCGGCTGGAGCCCTGTGTGTGGTTCTGTGGAATGGGAGCAAGGCAAGCTGGGAGCAGGACTGTGAGTGCTGTTTGGATTGTTGTGGATAGAAGGGACCACCTGACATGGAGAGAGACTGTCACTGTGACTCAGGAGAGGACATGTCATGTCACTGAGGTGTCGTCATCATCATCTGTGCTGCTGCACACTGCTGTCAGTGTCACTGTGAGAGCCACTTCATGTGTGTGTGTGCCTGGCCATTCTAATTTCTTGCCCTTCTGAGTCCTGCCCCTGGGCTTCTTACTATATTGAACAAAAAAATAAGAAATATGTTTTTTGCCTTAATATCCACCTTAAATCACATTGCTAACTGCATATTGTACTTGTTTGTAGCCTAAATACTGCAAATTGCAATTAAAACTGTAATTTTGTAACTTTTGGAATCGCCAGTAAAAACTTGGCTGTCGTCAGTGAATTTCAATCTGGTAGGATGGCAACACTGCTCATAACTATAAAATCAACATTGGGTAAATTTGGTCTTAATGATAAATAAAAGTTATTTCAAGCAGATAGAATGAACGAATAACTGTACAATACCTTGAGGTTGATTTACTGAAACTGAAGAGTGCATAATCAGGTGCAAATCTGCATGGCAGCCAATCAGCTTCTAACTTCAGCTTGTTCAATTAAGCTTTGTCCAAACAAAATGGAAGCTGATTGGTTTCTATGCAGAGCTGCACCAGATTTTGCACTCTCCTGTTTTAGTAAATCAACCCCATTGCCTATCTTCATTGATCCAGGGATACCAAGCAACTTTTAAATGTAACCTCTTACCTCTGACTTTCTTTTCCTGTGCCCTGAGAGCTGTCATTACAGTGTCATACCAATGTAAACATTGCATTGTTTGTATTTACCTGTCTGTGTCTGCACTTTAACTTCAAGCAAGGAGTGAGAATAAAGTTGGCCATACACTGTTCACATTTCGGCTGGTTCCTGATGAGCCAGCCCAAATTTGCTTAGTGGGTGGCCGTCTTGTTGGCTATCTGTTGGCAGCCTTCCACCCACATCCTTTGATTGAAAAACAGAAGGAGCTGGGTAGAAAATTGCCTGCTGAACAATGGCTGTATCTGTTTGGCTGCAGACACTGTTCAGGTATTCCATCAGCCGCCACTGACAGCTATCAGACTACAATAGCCCAGCAGGAGGAGTCACCCCTCTGTGCTGTTAGCATGGATTCAAGAACCTATTCAATTTTTTTTATGTTCAGCCTCCAGGCTGAACAAAAATAAAATGTAATGGTGTATGGCCAGCTTTACAATATTATTTTGCGTCAGTGGCCTGCTTTACTGAAGCAAATGAACAAGCAAAGGGAAAAACTGCCATGGCCTGCTAGCACTGAGTGCCTGCATACAAGCACTAAAGTAGGAGCACATAATGTGATTCCTGAACCTCCTGTCGATCATTCACTGATGTTCAGTGTATACGGTTTGGTCCTAGTTTACTGTATATGTGGAATGTTCAAATAATGCAGCTGTAACAACCGTAAATGATATCTATACTTTTAAAACACATCAGCTTTTTAAAGGATAATGCCAACTTTTGGACTATGCTTCATGTTACAATCATATTCAGGGTGTAGCAGAAGAAATGGTCGCACTGTCACTAACATCTAAAACGACCCCTCCCCCTTACAGAATCTGTGGGGTCTTCTCCTTGCAGGCTCCTTCATTTTTTTAATGTGGCAAAAAAGGGATCTGAGGATGAAAGGTCAGAAGTCCCATTTGCTACCATAGCAATGGGAAACCTAGATCTTAGTGGAGCACAAGTGGGATGACATCACCACCCTTCTAGTCCATTTTTACGTCCTCCAGATCAAAGGACTGTGTCTAGGTATGGACCTGCATTGGGCAGGTGCAGTAAGCTACTTCACCACTAGGTGGCTCTCTTTCAAAATAGTGTTTGGTACAGCAGATAGTATCACCAGGTGTTAGGTCCCTTTTAGGTGGAACCCTCCCACAGTAATGCCAGGGGTGAGTCAGCACCCATAAATAGGCTAGGTGGGGAGGAGCACACACACTTGGGGCATGGGAGCTGAACAACACATACCTATGAGGATGTATCCAGCACATGTAGGCCCTGGATAGGGCAGGAGGCCAGGTGGAGGAGAACTGTATGCAGGAGGAGCCGGCCGTAGTCTTTCTATCCTTTATGGAGCCGTGGGCTAGGGTGGATTGCAAAAGGCCTTTTTGGCCAGGTTGGGGATCCCTGTGTGAGGCTGTTTCCATTGAGGTTCTCCAGGAAAGATGTATCTAGTGAGGAGATGACAGTCTTGTGAGAACTAATGACCCCAGGGAGTGGAGAGACTGTAGGTATATCCTGAATACCACCAGTTCAGTGAAACTACTTTTGTGTATGGACATTTCCTTTCTTGGGGATATAAAGGTCCGACCCTGGTCACATCACAACCAGGGGCAGACTGACAACACATGGAGCCCTGGGCAATAGGGGATCATGGGGACCCTGTGTCCTTGCCCAAATTCAAAAAAGCCTATGAAAAAGGTACCAGGGGCATCTCATGGGGCCCCCTACTGACCCCGGGCCCTCGGGCAGTGCCCGAGTTTCCAAATTGTCAGTCCGCCCCTGCATGTGACAAGATGATAATGCAGGAGTACAGTTGGGAGACAGTTGTGATCCAAAAGCAAGAAGTTCCTGAACAAGGACCTTTAAGGCAAATTTTTTACTGCAATGCAGAGCAGCCGAAACGATGCACTGCTTTGGCCGCTGTGCATTGCCAGCTGCTGTAGGGGGCAGTGTGATGCATAATTCAGGGCATCACACTGCCCTATTTTTTTTTATAATAAACTGTATGCTAAGTGTACAAAACATACACTTCATTCAATGTAGGGCAGTGCAAAGCACTGTGATGCCTTACTTTGCAGTGCGATTCAGCACGGTGCGCTGCAATAAAATGCAGAGATGTTGTCCTCTGTTGAGAAGGGTTGAAGAAAATCTCCATGCAAGTTCATTACAGTTAGCTAAAGAGATAGAAAGCCAAACTGGGGTGATTGTTTTCCGTGACACAATACGGCATACACTGCAGAGGAATGGCATGCATGGGTGTCATCCACGAAGGAAGCCTCTCGTAAAGCCCATGCATAAAAAAGCCCGCTTAAAATTTGCCAGGACCCATGCAGAAAAGAAGACTACTGGGACTCTGTACTCTTGAGTGATGTGTCCAAGATAAATGTTTTTGGAGCTGATGGCTTCAAAATTGTATGGCGTCGCAAAGGTGAGGAGTACAAAGAAAAATGCATGGTGCCTACAATGAAACATGGTGATGGTAGTGTCCTTCTGTGATTCTGCATGAGTGCTGCTGGTGTCAGGGAGTTGCATTTCATTGAAGGTATCATGAATTCACAGATGTACTGCTCTACATTGAAAGAGAAGATGCTACCATCACTCCATGTCCTTGGTCATCGACCACTTTTCCAACATGACAATGATCCAAAACACACATCTAAGGCCACTGTTGCATTTCTGAAGAAGAACAGGGTGAAAGTGATTCAATTATCAAATATGTCTCCTGATCTGAACCCGATCGAACACCTATGGTGAATTGTGAAGTTGAGCATCACTCTCCATCCAACATCCAGGCTCTAAAAGAGGTCTTTCTTGAAGAATAGAAAAAGATAGATGTTGCAATATGTCACCAACTTGTTCATTCCATGCCTAGAAGACTTGGTGCTGTCCTTACAAATCATGGAGGTCATACAAATACTAGATGTAGTAGTTTTTGTTGTGGGGTGTATTCATTTTTGCATCAACTAATTTAAGTAAAACTAAAGATTTTTTAAATCTAAGTTATATTATTAACCTTACTTTCATGTAATGAGCTAAACAAATGTTCTATAAAACTCAGTTTTGCCAAAATTGTGGAAATTGTTCTTGTGTTCATTGAGATATTGATTAAAATCTTACATTTCAAAAGCGGTGTTCTCATTTATGCTGAGCACTGTATATATACCCTACATACAGTATAAGCATGGTGACACTGTTAGTGGAGTAGTACACACTGAACATCTGGGACTTCAACAATCTAGGGGTGATTTACTACCACAGCCAAGATTGGTGCCAAATAAGATATAAAAACAGAAATTCAGTGCCACATTACCCAGAGAAATGGAAGCAAAAACACTTATGCGCTGCCACTAGAAAATCAAGGTGAGGAAAAAAAAAATTCCCTATAATTATCAAAATTGGTGATCAGCATGAACAGCCAGCTCATTATCAAGAATGGTCAAATTATCATCGTGGATGCTCAGTTCTGTTGCAGATTGCACCACCAGAAGCTGAATTGAGGATTAATGATGAACTTGGGCATGTTCAGACTAGGATCCAAACCCACTTGTGACAGCCCGCCAGGAGGCTGTCTCCTGTAAGGGCCAATCATTTGCAGTCACAGCCACAAGTATACTCTCCCTCTGTATGTGTATGGGGTGGGGAATGCACTGGTTGCAGATGATTGACCAGTACAGGTGACATCTTCCAGGCAGGTTTACACATGTGGATTTGGATCCTATTCTGAACATGCCTGATGAGGATGTATCAGGCTCATGTATCGGTGGCTTTACCTATAAGAACTGATAAGAATTCAGTGTACTCTAGTCAGAACACTTAGGACCCATTTAAATCTATGCATGCATGTGCGTATAGGTATGTTTTTTTTTTTTTGTAGAGTTAGGCAGGTGCATTGTTATGTGTCATTAACAATTGTTGCAATGTGCATTTTCTAAGCTTTTTTTTAAGTTTAGACTTTGAAATGGATAGTGATAACAGCCAATGACCAAGACTTACCTAGACCTTGATACATGTTGCAAAACAAGTTATATACAGTTTGATGCATTGTCATTGATTTCTACGGGGCTCCCAGTACACTAACATGCAGAATAAATTGGACATGCTGCATTTTTAAAACAGGTGCAGGTACCATCTTTATTATGGGAAACCACAACATAAAGTATCTCACAGAACTGAGTACACTCCGCACTTTTTTGTAAATATTTTATTGTATCTTTTTATGTGACAACACTGAAAAAATGACACTTTTCTACAATGTAAAGTAGTGAGTGTACAGCTTGTATAACAGTGTAAATTTTCTGTCCCCTCAAAATAACTCAACACACAGCCATTAATGTCTAAACTGCTGCTGGCAACAAAAGTGAGTACACCCCTAAGTGAAAATGTTCTAACTGGGCCCAAAGTGTCAATATTTTGTGTGGCCCACCATTATTTTCCAGCATTGCCTTAACCCTCTTGGGCATGGAGTTCACCAGAGCTTCACAGGTTGCTACTGGAGTCCTCTTCCACTCCTCCATGATGACATCACGGAGATGGTGGATATTAGAGACCTTGCGCTCCTCCACCTTCCGTTTGAGGATGCCCCACAGATGCTCAATAGGGTTTAGGTCTGGAGACATGCTTGGCCAGTCCATCACCTTTACCCTCAGCTTCTTTAGCAAGGGAGTGGTCGTCTTGGAGGTGTGTTTGGGGCTCCATGGGCAGACTGACCATTGGGGAACTCGGGTACTCCCCGAGGGCCCGGGGTCAGTAGGGGGCCCCATGAGATGTCCCTGGTATCTTTCATAGGCTTTTTTGGATGTGATTTGAGTGTGGGCAAGGACACAGGGGGCCCATGATCACCTATAGCCCAGGGGCCCCATGAGTTGGGGTCATTATCATGCTGGAATACTGCCTTGCGGCCCAGTCTCCGAAGGGAGGGGATCATGCTCTGCTTCAATATGTCACAGTACATGTTGGCATTCATGGTTACCTCAATGAACTGTAGCTCCACAGTGCTGGCAGCACTCATGCGGCCCAGACCATGACACTCCCACCACCATGCTTGACTGTAGGCAAGATCTACACTTGTCTTTGTACTCCTCACCTGGTTGCTGCCACACACGCTTGACACCATTTGAACCAAAAGAGTTTATCTTGGTCTCATCAGAACATAGGACATGGTTCTAGTAATCCATGTCCTTAGTCTACCTGTCTTCAGCAAACTGTTTGGGGGCTTTCTTGTGCATCATCTGTAGAAGGGGCCTCCTTCTGGGATGGCATCCATGCAGACCAATTTTATGCAGTGTGCGGGTTATGGTCTGAGCACTGACAGGCTGACCCCCCACCCCTTCAACCTCTGCAGCAATGCTGGCAGCACTCATACATCTATTACCCAAAGACAACCTCTGGATATGATGCTGAGCATTTGCACTCAACGTCTTTGGTCAACCATGGTGAGGTCTGTTCTGAGTGGAACCTGTCCTGTTAAACCGCTGTGTAGTCTTGGCCACCGTGCTGCAGCTCAGTTTCAGGGCCTTGGAAATTTTCCTATAGCTTAGGCCATCTTTATGTAGAGCAACATTTCTTTTTTTCAGATCCTCAGAGAGTCCTTTGCCATGAGGTGCCATGTTGAACGCCCAGTGACCAGTATGACAGCGATAACACCAAATTTAACACACCTGCTCACACCTGAGACCTTGTAACACTAACGAGTCACATGACACTGGGGGGGGGAAATGGCTAATTAGGCCCAATTTGGACATTTTCACTTAGGGGTGTACTCACTTTTGTTGCCAGCGGTTTAGTCATTAGTGGCTGTGTGTTGAGTAATTTTGAATGGACAGCAAATTTACATTGTTATACGAGCTGTACACTACGTCACATTGTAGCAAAGTGTCATTTCTTCAGTGTTGTCACATGAAAAGATATAATAAAATATTTACAAAAATGTGAGGGGTGTACTCAGTTCTGTGAGATACTGTATGTGTTTTAGGGTGCTGGAATGTGGGTGTGTGAAAATGCAGCTGTGTAAATGGGCCATCATGAGCTGGTGTGTCACTGGTTACTAAAGGTAGCTACGTTTATCAAACCACCTCTAATTGTTGCCTTTTCTCATTTTTACTCTGCAGCCATTGATTTGGACATGCTTGCATGCATATTTGTGCAGTGTGACCTTAATTAAGCCTGAATGGTCCTTTAAGATTCTATTGTCTTCGTTAATGGAAGGTTTTTGTCTAATAATGTTTGTCTTCTCGGCAGGAGAAAGCGAGGCGCTGCTTGCCCACGTGTACCTTGTGGAAAAAAACCTATATTTGCTAAGTGACTTTTCTCTGTTATCCTCATACACACAATTAGCTGTCAGGTGCACGGCTCTGAAAGCACTGGGCAATTTCCAGATTAGTTCTAATTGCAGGGTGGGCTGACACATCAGCCAGAGGACCCTGTATTAAGTGTGCTGCCAGGAACTGTGCCCCTTAAGAGTGCTCGGGAAAGGGGGGGTGATGGCTGGCTGTCTCCAGACTGCTGGCAGTTTGACTGTGGCCTAAAGTAATGGAGCTGGCAGGGTGGAATCAATTACTGGCCAATGAAGATTTTCCCACAGGTCGAGGCTTGGGAAAAAAGGACGTTCCTGCTGCCTAGACAGCTGGCATGGCCTGTCCACTGGGAAAAACGCCTGTAAAAGAAGAAAACAAGGGGACAGCTCACAGTGATAAAGTAGTGGCAGACTATAAATTTTCAAGAAAAAAAAAAATTGGCAAAGGTTTCCAGGTCCTTTACCTCTTTCTTT